ATTTAGAAGAACAGGCTGTAGAAGGTGAGAAGGAACAAGACCCAACTGCTGTTCCTGGGACATCAGCTGTCATTGAGGCTTCGTTTATTGAAGTCATGAAGGTGGGCTTGGAAATATGGGGGGATAATGGGAATGTGAGCCCAGAAGGTCCTGCTGCTACATCAGAAAGTGAAGCCGCAGTGATGCTAGAATGGGCATCAAAGGAAAATGATCTGAGCTCTGACAGACAGACGAGCTCAGAGGAACCTGATATTGCTGCAAAGACAAGCACAGCTGAGCCAGCATCAAGCCTGGGAGAGGAGACCACAGTGACTGATAAGGATATTGGTGCAGAAGTGGGTCACGAGCACCCGGACGAGAGCACAGAGGATCAGCCAACTGAGGACACTGGCGAGCCACTGGCAGAGGCTATCACAGAAGGCCAAGTCTCAGGTAAGACTTGTGTAGCCAAGTTCTGGGTTTGCAAGCCGGATCCATAGAAACCTCTTACTTCAGCCAGTGCTGCCTGAAGTAATTAAGTTATAGCCTAGAGAATGGAGGACCATAAGGCTTGGCATGCTTGGTCCCCAGCAGTATCCCCTTGTTAGCCGCCTGAGCCTTCGGGGAGGGCGGGATACAAATCTAAAGAATGAATGAATGAATGAATGAATGAATGAATGCATGCTGCAAGGAATCCTGGGGGGGCGCAGCAGTGGCATGACACATGGCTGCCTCTCTAGTGCTGCTTCTGCCGCCTGGTGCACCAGGTGGCTACTTGGGTTGTTTCTGAAGTCTGGACAGCCCATAATATCAACACTGGCATAAGTTTAAGAGGCATATTCAGGTGTGCCACACTGAACTTGCCAAACTCGTTTCAGTTTGAACTTGTGCCCTTTGTAAGGGGTGGGGTGAAAGATTCAAGAGCCAAACAAGTTCACTCGGCTGGAAGGAACCAGAAGTGCATCCATTCAGAGCCTCTGGTTCCGGAAGGCGGATGAATCCCAGCAGGCTGCCTTCGCCCTCTGCCACGAACAAGCCCTGTAAGAATCATCGGATTCTGGCTAGATTCTTCTTCTTTAAGAAACAAAACAAAAACCGATCTCTGTTTTGGAGCCGGCAGCTAGCAAAACTAGTTGTACGTAGTGTCTACGTGTATGTTCCATTCCTTTATCTGAACTCCCGTTTATCACACTTTCTCCCTGGTCAGACTTTGTCAGGGAGCATTTTCTGGATTCTGCCTGCTGGTCTTCCTTTCGTTCAAGCCTTGGCCGGCCCTGTCAGGCTTTCCACCAGTCTCCCTTCTTGCCCTCATGTGCTATAGTGATCGGTCCACATCTCCAAAAATGGCAGTCTCCTTTTCCTGATAGCTTTTTTCCTGTTAAAGGATAGGCCCCCAAGATCGATACAAAAATGGTTTCCAGCTTCAGCTGAGACCTTCCTGCTACATGATGCTTCCTTGTGCGTCCAATTACTTGCGGATGCACACAAGACAATCTGCAAGCTATCAAGTTCTCCAGAACTCTTTATCAGACTGGATGTTTAAAAAAAAAAAAGAATTGGTACTTTCCATTCTTTGCCTTTTCGTTCCTGAAAGCCAAAGATGCAACAAGACCCACCTGCATACCTACTCAAACTTTACGAGACTCGGTCTTTTATTATGCCCTGAAGCATCTCTCCCCTCATGACATCGAGTCTGATTCAAACCTCTGGAGAACTTGAAAGCCCGCACGCCATTTTATGTCATTTTGGTTGGTCCTAATAAGGAGCTGCGGTGGCTCAAGTGGTTAAGACGCTGAACTGCAGGCTGTGGAAGGTCAGTAGTTCAGCAGTTCGAGACCCGGGTTGCCGCATGATGGAGTGAGCTCCCGTCTCTAGTTCCAGCTCCTGCCAACCTAGCAGTTCGAAAGCAAGAAATTGCAAGTAGATAAATAGGTACCTCTTCGGTGGGAAGGTAACAGCGTTCCGTGCGCCTTGGTATTTAGTCATGCCGGCCACATGACCACGGAAACGTCTTCGGACAGCGCTGGCTCTTCGGCTTTGAAACGGAGATGAGCACTGCAACCCTAGAGTCGGACTCGACTGGCTTTTGAGCAAGGGAACCTTTACCTTTACTTTTAATACAGGCTATCGCATGGCTTTTGTTTCTGCATTTTCCTTTGGACCATCACAGCCACCTGTGTTTTGTACACGCCTGAAAATTGGGCTGTCGGGTGGCAGACCTTCTAGCCTCAGACTAGGACGAGGAGGAGGAGGAAGAGGAGATTGCCCTCACCCTGACCCCTCCCTTCCTCCTGCCAGTGGCCTCTCCCATGGCCTCTTGGGATTGGCCTGGCCCTTCGACTCCGGCCTTGGCTGCTAAAGAACTTCCTAGGGGTGGGCTGACCCCAGCTTCCCCCCAGGGGCAGATTAACCATGAAGCAGACTGAGCACGTGCTTAGGGCACCAGGGCCAAAGGGGGGACCACAAAGTTGGGGAAAGGTTGAAAAGCTTCGTTTGTACAGTATATTGTGTTATCCTATGAATAAAAGTTTGTATTGCTGCAACCTGCATTGTACATCTGGTCAGACAGGTCAACAACTAAAATGGACTGGGTCAGTATGGAAAGGAGGGAGGGAAAAAAGATTGGTCAGTGCTGAGGGCACCCTTGAGCCTTAATCTGCCCCTGCTTCCCCCAATGCCCTCTCTTCAGAGGCAGGCCATTGGGAACGAAGGAAATCTGGGCCGGTGGCATCCCCGGCTAGGCCCTCCTTTCTACTGCCCCGCCTTCAAAGGTTTTAAGTGGCCGCTCTGCCTGCCTGCACCAGCCTCAGCGGCTGCTGGTCTCCTCCTCTGGCATGTCCCCGGGTGCAGCCTACTGCCTGAGCCTGCCAGGCTCTTATGCTGCTGTGGGGACTTTTCTGGGCATGGCCTGACTCTTGTTTCCTTCCCTACAGCCTCTGGCTGGGCTGCCTGCATTAGCTGTGCCTGGGCGAGGCATCACTTCTGTAGCAGGGGAGTCCACAGGGGCCACTCCCACCCCCCACCCCAGACGCACCATTTGTTGTAGGTGTGGACATTGTTTGGCTCCATTTTACTTATTTAACATACCTGTGGGTTTCAAGCCCCTATGCCTGCATTTGCAGAGGTCTTTCTCTGCCTTGACTTCCAGATTGCTGCAGGTCTTTTTTGAGCATCCACACATCATTGTTCTCCAATCTCTGACTGTCCACTTTCCAGATTTCCCCCTATGTCAAAACGTTCTTTTCTCAAGCCTGGTTTGGTACAGTCTTTCGAGCAAGAATGCAGTCCAAGCATATGAACCAGCTGCCTGGATGTGGGGACTCGCAGTGTTCCCTCTAAGCTGAGTTAGTGTGAGCTAGCTCACAGATTTTTTAGCCTCCAGCTCACACATAATTTTGCCTTAGCTCAGGAAGGACGACTGCAGAGCAGACTAATGTATGCAGCAGCCCAATCGCTCGCTCACAGTTTTAATGCCAGTAGCTCACCGAGTAGGATTCTTGCTCACAGGACTCCACAGCTTAGAAGGAGCACTGGTGGGGAGGTGTGCATTTCAGAAGGTGCCATCCACACCAGAGTGCCATTTTCCTGGCCCCGGTCCCCTCGCAGGTGCCACCTCCGCCCCATGTCACTGACCGGAGAACTTAAAAAAAAACAACAACCTGAGAATCGCTTTAGTGCTATAGTATGTTATAACTGCGGTGGCTCAAGTGGTTAAGTGGTTAAGACACTGAACTGCAGGCTGTGGAAGGTCGGTAGTTCAGCAGTTCAAGACCCGAGTGTGCCACATGACGGAGTGAGCTCCCGTCTCTAGTTCCAGCTCCTGCCAACCTAGCAGTTTGAAAGCAAGAAATTGCAAGTATTTTATTTATTTATTTATTTATTTATTTATTTTGGGACTTATACCCCGCCCTATCCAAACGGCTGGGAAGGTAATAGCGTTCCGTGCGCCTTGGTGTTTAGTCATGCCAGCCACATGACCACGGAAATGTCTTCGGACAGCGCTGGCTCTTCGGCTTTGAAACGGAGATGAACACCGCAACCCTAGAGTCGGATTCGACTGGCTTTCGAGCAAGGGAACCTATACCTATGTTATAATGAGGTATTGCCACAATTGACTAGTTCCTCTGAATTCATAGCTTTAAAAAAAAATGGCAGCCAGCTCCAAGCATTTGTGAGGTTTCAAATTTTTATAAGGAGAGGCTGAAGGTTCAAGAGATGGAGGCTAGTAAAAATAAATTCCACAGTCTTTCCATGTTGTGTGCTTGTGATCACCATTCAGAACCAGCTGAAGAACTGTGCACTGGCCATTCCCAGATTTGGCTCACATTTGTTCCACTAAAACAAAAAACAACTGGGACAAAAAATCCCAACGTCAAGTCGAGGCTATATTATACTGCCCCTGTATCATGCAGCCTCATTTGCAGTACTGTGTACAGTTCTGGTCACCATAATTCAACAAGGACATTGCAGAGCTGGGAAAAGTACAGAGGAGGGCAACCACGAAGCTTAGGGGGCTGGAGCACCTTCCCTTTGAGGAAAAGCTGAAGAGTCTGGGACTTTTCAGTTTAGAAAAGAGATGACTAAGGAGAGACATGATAGAGGTTTGTAGAAGTATGCATGGGGGTGGAGAGAGTTGACAAAGAGACATTTTTCTCACTCTCCCAAAATACTAGAATTCAAGGGCAACCAATGAATCTGATGAGCAGCAGAGCAAGGACAGACGAAAGGAAATACTTCTTTACACAGAGAGTGAATAAAATGTGGAATTCACTGCCAGAGGATGGAGTGATGGCCACAGGCGTAGACAGCTTTAAAGGGGGATTAGACAGATTCATGGAGGAGAGGTCTACCAGTGGCTACCAGCTGTGGTGATTAAAGAGAACCTCCTCATTCAGAGGCAGTCAGCCTCTGAATCCACAGTGGCAGGTAGCAACATCATGGGAAAGCCTCGGCCTCTATGGCCCTGCTGTTGAACCTCCAGAGGAACTTGTTGGCCACGGTGTGAGCCAGGATGCTGGTTTGATCCAGCAGGGCTCTTCTTATATTCTTATGTTCACTAACTATGTGGTTTTGTCAATTGGATTTGTTAAACAAAAAGTAACTACACTGCAGTGACTAAGGAAGATGGCTTAAATTGCATGAATGAACACTATCTGAGCCCACACCAACTGAAAATTCCTTCAAAAGGTTCAGATATTCAAATTGGATGCACTCTGTGCAGGATATTTCAAAAGAAAACAGCAGCTATTAAGGCTCTCGTTCTAATGGATTTCGATCTCAGTGCTGTGAACTACATCTATAAGGTCCTTTCCCAAGCACTCTGTTAAATGGCCCATTTCCTCCTGAATATTGCAGCAAAGGGAAAAGCTGGACTCATAATCTAAGAAAAGAGGATTTAATCATGACTAGCTAGATGAAATTAGGGCCCCTAGAATGCAGACTGTAGTATCATATAGCAAGAGTTGTGTACAAGAGGATTCCCCCTTCATCTCCAGCAGGGAGATCTTGCACCCACACCCTTCTGTTATTGCTGAGAGGCTGGGGAAACAGCTGCTGGGCTTGCCAGAGGGTTTCTGTATCACATCTGGATTTTTCACATCACTGGTCTCAGTTACCCTGCCTTGCTCAGTAGTTAGAGTGTGGGCTATGGGAGGCAGGCCAGGCCCCCTTCCCACTTGACCCAGCAAGCCCCTCTCTTAGGTAAGTGATGAGAGGGCAAATTAGACAGGATGTCTCTGGTCTGGGGAAGGGAACAAAGGGATACCGGGGAAGGGAATCCAAGGAATACTGGAAGATGGAGGCCAAGAAATGTTCATCCTTTCAAATGGGGGAGCCCGACATAGGCTGAAGTCAAAAGGCAAAGGATTAACTCGAAGTCCATCCCCACTTTCCTGGAAGCCCCACAAAAGGGGAAGAAATAAAGAGGCCATTAGCCCAACTTCACTACCCTCCTGAGCAGGGGTCATTTACTCCAGGAGCGCACAGGAGCGGAGCTCTGACAGTAAAGAGCCCAGGGGGCAGGCACATGCAACAAGCCCCGCCCCCTTCTCCCAGCAGCCCTGGGCCATGAGGATCTGTGCGTTCCCCCCCACCATAGCTAGCAATCCAGAAGAGTCCAGTGGAGCCTGAGCGGTGGGTGTTGCCTTCTGACACACTTCTGGTGATGTCAGGGGGTGTGGCATATGCTAATGAGTTATGCTAATGAGTTATGCTAATGAGCTCCTGCACCTCTTTTTCTATGAAATGACCCCTGCTCCTGAGCATGTTGTATGTCCCGTATGACGGACAAATCGCACCTTTGCCAGTGGTTACAACTGCCACACAGTGAAATTTTAAGTAGTTCATTATGTGATCAGGGAGGATGTGGGCTGCTGTGCAGAAGAACTGATGGGGGGGGGGGTGTTGGCTTCAGGTGCCAAAGAAGCCTTCCAAAGTTCCAGCAGGCAGCATGACCAGCACTGACTGAGATCAAGTGAGTGGCTTCTCCCTCTTGGGTTGCACGGAGGATGGTGGCTAGCTCGTGGTTCCTTCCTGCTCATCGATGGCTTCTCTTTTCAGGCCTGTCCCCAGAGCCCTCAGGGGAAGCCAGCAAGACATTTGAAAAGGCACCTCAGCTGATATATGGACAGCCGTGGTCAGGTGAGGACACCCATCATCATTCTTGAACATCCAGCCGCTGTCGTTCACACTGTCCAGTCAGCCATTTCTTTTGTGCCCCCACCCCCCAACAGGAGACCTCGAGGCTGCCAACTTGACTTTCGATTACACTGACTATGGCAAGGAAGTCCGGGAAGACTGGAACAACGAAAACTCCAGGTTTCCAGGTACAGTACTTCATCAGAGCACCATAAGCCCAAGAGGCTTCATTTACAACGGCCTTTTGCGGGAATGTTCCTGCCATTCATTCCTGCGATGGAAAGGACCTCGTCATGTGCAGGTTAGAGCGCTGGGCTGGCTGCTTGTTTCTGGGCCTCATCGTGTCATAACTATTGAAGTAAGACAGGATCACTATTTTCATCACGGGAGCAGCTTGTAACTACACTCCTGTGAACGGAAGCCAATCATAGCAGCAGAATCCCCCACGCACGCCGATGGAAAGAGCAGCATTGTGTATTAGTGGGAAGCCTTACAAGGTTCCTCCTGGGCAATTTAGGAGCTCTATATACTTAAGCAGTTCTATATGCTTTTGCTGGGTCCCATGCCACCCCTTTCCACACTTTTTTTAGAACTGGAAAGCCCAGTTCTTCCCCTCCTCCACTATTTTCCCCACAGCAGGAAAGCAAGGCAGCCAAAGGCACAGGGCCCCAGTCAAGTATGAGAATAACTGGGCAGAGGATTTTCATGAGAAATCCTGTAGGGTCGAAACCCGAGCCTCAAACTGTCAAGTGACAATGGCCACATTTCTGCCCATCGTTTTTCTACCCAACTTTCCCCCTTTTTTTACATGTTCATGCTCATGGGCCCTCTGCTTAGTGGCTTTAGTTGCAAAAACGGCAGTGGTGGGTATTCCAGAGAAGGGGCTTTGATGCAGCAGCGCTGGCCTGCAAAGCATTTAGCCTGTAATCTCTCAATGGATCGCATCCGTCTCTCTTGATCTATTGCCCAGGCCATAGCCATTGCACTGTTCTGTGGGACATCCAGGGGTCATTTCCTGCAGCAGTTCCAGCAGTAAAGAGCCTGGGGGTGGGCACATGCAACAAGCCCCACCCCCTGCTCCCAGCAGCCCTCAGTCAGAGCAAGAAGCAGCCAGGTAAGTTGCAGAGCTCCCCCCGGCTTCCCCGGTCCAAAACAGTCCAGTGGCACCTTTAAGACCAAGTTTTATTCAGGTACAAGCTCTCCCTCCTCTGCGAGGACAGATCTGCACGTTCCCCCCCCCCCAATAGCTGGCAATCCAAAACAGTCCAGTGGAACCTGAGCTGTGGGTGTTGCCTTCTGACACACTTCCGGTGATGTCAGGGGGTGTGGCATATGCAAACGAGTTATGCTAATGAGTTGTGCTAATGAGCTCCTGCACCACTTTTTCTACGAAATGACCCCTGGGGACATCAATCTGGAAATAGTAATTGAGGGGGATAATGCCTTAGAATTCTTTCCTCTGTCAACACTAAGCAAATGGTTCTGCTTGTCCCCTTATTCCTGGTCACTTGTTGGAGCCCGAAACACACTCCCATGCTTATTGCACAACATGCTTTGATTCTACCCCCCCCCCCCCCCCACTCATTCTAGGCTTGCGCATGAACATGATAGACATTCAGTGCCATGGGCCCCCTTCTTCCGCAAGTGCCTTTGAGAAGAATTGCCTCAACCTGCCACAGTTCGTGCAGCTCATGGAGACGTTTATTGGCGAGGACGTTTCTCTACCAGACCTGAAGAAGCTGGTGAAATTTATGAAGCAAGGCTATGTGCTACTGGAGAAAGAAAAACTCAGCCAGATGGAAAGAGTAAATATGAGCGCTCTGTGTTCTGGGGGGACAGCTATAGCCTGGCCATTGCTCGGGCAAATGATTGTGGCCTTTCGATTGATTAAAACAAAATAATACACCCACACACAGACCCATACTTGGCAGAAACCGGGTGGGATCAAAGCCAGAATGGATGGGGGAAATCAGTCCACAAATGCAAGATAAATTAAATAGATGGAACTTGGGGGGGGAATCCAGCATAAAACAAATAAAATAATAGGTTGTCGAAGGCTTTCACGGCCAGAGTTCATTAATTGCTGTAGATCTTCCGGGTTGTGTGGCCGTGGTCTTGGCATTGTAGTAGCTGACGTTTCGCCAGTAGCTGTGACCGGCATCCTCAGAGGTATAACACAGAAAGATGGACATAGAGAGTACTCCATCTTTCTGTGTTATACCTCTGAGGATGCCAGTCACAGTTACTGGCGAAACGTCAGGTTCTACGATGCCAAGACCACGGCCACACAACCCAGAAAATCTACAGCAACAAATAAAATAATGTTTTGTATGAAAATAAATTAAAACACGCACACTGCTTAATAACTATTCTCTTAGTGTTCTGTCTTTTTAAAAATTGAAAAACCATTGCAAAACACCAAGTAGATGATGATTAAAAATATAAAATAGATTGGCTTTCTAACTACGAGTTCTCAAACTAACTTACTAACTGCAGTGGTAAATTACACATGCTCATTAAACCTTTTTAAAATGGATTGGTACACAGAGACTGTTTATAAGGACCAAGGACAATTCAATGTAAAGGATTCATGCTTGTTGCCTCTTTCAGTGGCTCTCTGGAAATCCTTCATTCAAAATCGGGGAAAGCTTTTTTCTCTCCCCCCCCCCGGTTTATTTTCCAACTTTTCCACAAAAGTACAAACATTTCATTTTCTTCGATTACATAAATTTTTAGAGTTTTCAAATCTAATTACAATTCTTGTACATAATATTAATTATTTGCATATTTATCAAATTGCATTATTTATCCAATTATATACCTTTAACCACCTTTTACTCTGTATTGTATGATCTTTACCTTGAAGTAATAAACTCAGATTATCCAGTTGTGAATAAACTCAGATTATCCAGTTGTGGGGGAAAGCTTTTTTCGATATCCAAAGATAGTTGTGTTTTATTTAAAACAGAGGGGTTGGATCTGGTGGAAGTGGGAGGAGGGGCCCCTTTTGCCCCTAAAAAGTTATGCTAGGGATTGTGGGACGTCTGTGGACAAAAACCAAATTGTGTGTGTGTGTGGGGGGGCTGCTGTGAGGTGAGAAATCAGACAAAATTGTCTCTCCTCCTTTGTGTACCAGTGGAAACAGGCTCCAACCCTATAAATATCACCCTTCTCATTTTAATAAAGCAGCCCTTTAAATGAAATGTGGTTGCTACCCAAAATCTTTGTGCAAAATAACATAGTCAGTGTCTACTACAGACACTGAAGGTTTAAGCCAAGTGACAAAAATCCAGGGCTCTCTAAAATCCCTGTTAGGGAATTCTCCTTAAAAAAAAGCAAGTTTCGATTACTCTCTTTGGAGGATCATTCTATAAGATAAATAGCTGACTCATCAGCTGCTTTTCTCTCAGAAAGAGGGATGTTTTTAGAAGACAGAACACTAACAAAATACTGCTTTCACACACACACACACACACACACACACACCTGTTTTAATTTTGTTTGCTCTAGATTCAAACATTGTTTTATTACTGCAAGCCACCCTTGGTTTCCTTCCCCTCTTCTGTGCCTGTGGGGTAGTATAGCTCCCAGTCTTCACTGTGGGTCACTGGAGCTTGGAGACTCCACCCTGCTTGTCTGGCTGAACAGGAACCATATCACAGACTCTCTGGTCACAGCCCTATTTACCTGCAGCTACTTGTGGGCTGCGGTGGCTCAAGTGGTTAAGATGCTGAACTGCAGACCAGAAGGTTGGTAGTTCAGCAGTTCGAGACCTGAGTGCTGCATGACGGAGTGAGCTCCCGTCTCTGATCCCAGCTCCCGCCAACCTAGCAGTTCAAAAGCAAGAAATTGCAAGTAGATAATTAGGTACCACTTTGGTGGGAAGGTAACAGCGTTCCATGCACCTCTGTGTCGTCATGCCGGCCACATGACCATGGAAACGTCTTCAGACAGTGCTGGCTCTTCGGCTTGGAAACGGAGATGAGTACCGCACCCCTAGAGTCGGATTTGACTGGCTTTCGAGCAAGGGAAACCTTTACCTTTAACTTACTTGTTTGTTTCCAGCCACCCATCCTTCCTCGTTAGGTACTTTCCTGAAAACACTGATGGATAGAGTTGACAATGGTCCAGGGGGAAAAATGTCCTATTTTTATGGAGTAGAAAAGAGCGAGAGTCCAGTAGCACCTTAAAGCTTGTGGCAGGGGAGGAGCTTTCATGAGCCAGTGCTCACTTCTTCAGATACAGCTAGAATGAGCAGAAGTGAGCCGTGACTCACGAAAGCTCCTCCCCTGCCACAAATTTTCTTAGTCTTTACGATGTGACTGGACTTTTCTACTGCTACAAACAAACACAGCTCCCCATCTTGATCTATTTTTATGGCTGAGGGCTTAATGTGTGCAGATGGGCAGCTGAAACTTTACACGGCATGGCAGTAAACAGAGGTCATTTCAGGCGGGATCGCAGTTCCCCCGGGTGAGGTACGGGGGGCGGGGCACATGACGAAGCCCCGCCCCCCGCTTCCGGCCGCCCTGCTTCCGGCCCTCATTCAGCCAGGAGGAGGCAGGAGAAGAGGGAGGGTAAGTTGCTTCCTCCCTGCCTCTTCCCACCCCTGCCTGCCTGGGGCCAGGGAGGGCCTTCGCGGGGCTTCCTTGCACTCCCGCCGGCCTTGCAGATCCACCGCCAGGGCCCTCATGGGGCTCGGCAGTGGAGCTGCAAGGCCGCCAGCGGCGGCCGGGACCGTTGGGGGCGGGGTGTGTGGCCTTATGACACACTTCCAGTGATGTCAGGGGGTGTGGCATATGCTAATGAGTTATGCTAATGAGTTCCCCTAGCTCTTTTTCTATGAAACGACCCCTGGCAGTAAATAACATCATCCAGTATTTGGCTGCAGATCAAACTGACATTAAGGGGACAGGTGGAAGGACCAATTTAAAATCTGGCAGCAAATCCCGCCAACGTAAGGACTGTAGTAAAAACAATGAAGGGGCTGCTAAGAGGGTTGCCAACAATTTTGAGGGGGGAAACTGTCTTGCCTTCTAACACAGGTTTAAGGTATGGGAATGGGCAGGGAGGCAAATAACATCACCTGGGAAATAACATCCCATTAAGCCTCTCTTCAAGGGGCAGGACATTTCCCCCCCCCTCCAGGTTGTGGGGAACCCATGCTGCTAAGCACCGGGCAGCAAGACCAGCAGAAAGGGCCCACAGCCAGCCAGAATCATGAAGAAGCAAACTGATTAACTTCTACTGGTTATCTTGCTTCTCTCATTAAAAAAGGTACAGTGGGAGGTTGAGATCTTTTTTTTTTTTTTTTAGTGTGAAGGAATCCCAGTATCTGGAAACCTAAAAACCACCCTTGCATATGGTATTGAAAACCTCTCAGTGGGAACTGTGGCAACACAACCGCTTAACAACTTTCCCTAACATTTGAAAGTGTGTGTGTGTGTGGGGGGGGCTGACCCATTTCCCATAGTAATAGTGATAGGGCATTAGTATTCCTTTTCCCATTCCATATTTGTAGTGTGTAGTGTGTACAAAATGCAAAAATAAAAAAATTCCCTTTCAGGGGGGTCAAAAAAACCCCAAAGCCTGAGAAAACCAAACTCTTCCCCCAGATTTTCTCTCTCTGTGTGTATGTATGAACAACTCACCTACTTGGGATGCTTCTCCAGGGCAGCCATGTTTTCGTGCAGACCCATCGTGCCCCTGTTGAGCGCATTCCCTTCCTCCCAGCTGCTTCTGCTGCCGCCTGCCTTCATACATCTCCCGGTTCTGGGTTTTTAAACAACCATAGTATCTTATTTCTGCTATAAATGCTGTAAAGGTAAAGGTTGCCTTGCTCGAAAGCCAGTCGAATCCGACTCTAGGGTTGCGGTGCTCATCTCCGTTTCAAAGCCAAAGAGCCAGCGCTGTCTGAAGACGTTTCCGTGGTCATGTGGCCGGCGTAACTAAACACCAAGGTGCACGGAACGCTGTTGCCTTCCCACCGAAGTGGTACCTATTTATCTACTTGCAATTTCTTGCTTTCGAACTGCTAGGTTGGCAGGAGCTGGAACTAGAGACGGGAGCTCACTCTGTCATGCGGCACACTCAGGTCTCGAACTGCTGAACTACCGACCTTCCGCAGCCTGCAGTTCTGCGTCTTAACCACTTGAGCCACTGCAGCTCCTCATGAATGCTGTACCCATCCCTAAAAACCACAGCAACCAGCAATCCATTCTCAGTTCCTTCTTACCTCTTCCTCTCTCAGGTTCGTCACGACGCTTTGTTGGCCCGCCAGCAACTTCTTTTGGCCGCCCTCTTTGAGAAGTGGGATAACGAATGCTCTGGATTCCTTGACATGAAAGAGGTGGACGCTGTCCTCAGTACCTTTAAGGAAGGGATGGAGCAGGAGGCTCTGGAGAAAGGTCAGGGAAATACTCACCACTCTCTAACCCCTCTCCCCAGCAAGTCTTTGTTTCTTCAAAGGTTTCCCCATTATCACACAAATATCATTGATGACAGACAAATTCCCTATTAAGAGCAGATGCCTCACTTGCATCTACGCTGTATCGATCTGTATCACTTGCCTGTGGACTTCATATGCAGAATACCTGAACAGTTTCTCTCTGTTCCTCAGACTCCCACAAAGCATCATTGTGGGTGATCCAAAAGGAAAGCCCAGTCATTTTCAGAACAGAAAAGAACTTGTGAAATAGCAGTGTGGGACTTTTCTGCTGATCCTTTCTTTTTCCGTCCTCCCTGTTATAATTATTATTTCATGTTTGGGAACTTTAAAAGAAAAAGATCTGAAAACCTGTAGAAGAGCTCCCTCTTGTGTGCAGAAGCATGCAGCAAATCAGACTACTGCTCCATAGGGCTCAGTATTTTCTATTCAATGGCACCTTTAAGACCAATGAAGTTTAATTCTGGGTATAAGCTTATGCATGCATGCATACAAAAGCTTACACCTAGAATTAAACTTTGTTGGTCTTAAAGGTGCCACTGGACTCAAACTTTGTTGTGTTGCTTCAGGCCAACACGGCTACCACCTGAACCTATTGTCTATCACTTTGGCTGCCGCTCTCCTGGGGCTCAAATAACACAATTGTGACTAATGAGTGATTCCTCCCATTGGGACAGGAGGCAGAGATAAAGCACAGCTGCCTGTGACCATGGATGGGAGGGCACTCTCTCCCTCTGGCAGTCTGAACACTTCCAGAACAGGGAACGAGAAACCAACCCAAAAGAACCTGTAGAAAATCTGCAAGAAACAGAATTAGCATCTCAGCCCCAGAGGCATAAATAAGGCCTAACTATATGCAGAAGATTGTTAACAGAAAGAAGGCCAGAAGCACAATGGGAATAACTGAATGAGATGCCGGCCAGACAGCAGAGACCTCTTGGAAGGTCTTTAGTTCAGATGTGGAACCTCTCATTATACCTCTACAGTGTTCCTTGGCTGGCAGTCATGACGATCCCCTACTTAAGAAAAAGCCGGGCAAGGATGTCTCTGAGTGGAATCACAGTGATGCCAACGTTCTCTTCTCACTCAGAGGTGGAGGCCATCCATGCTTGGTGAGATACCCAAAAGCAGCATGCCCACCCAGGAAGGGCTGACTGGCAAACACAAAGCTACAGCACCTGCTGCAACACCCTCTGCCCCAAGGAGAGATCAGCCAAGGTGCCTGAACTATTGAAAACAACAGACTAACATGGCTACCCATTTCCATTCATCTTAGAGAGTCATGGATAGAGCATCAGAGGGCTTAGACTACCAGTTGGCCCTTGCTAGGACTCTATTTTTTTTGGCACTGTGCCTTCTTCTACACTTCCATCATATTTTTCTCTTTCAGCATTCCTAAATATCAGTCTCTTGGCTAGGTTGAATGCCTTTCCCTCTGCTGTTTGGTTGGGTAAATTCTGAGGTGTAGCCTGTTCAGACAAACTGTGCCCCTGTGGAGCTGGCATGATGGAAACATTATCTCACATCTTTTTTTATTGTGTATTGGGGAGCCCTCTGAGAGATCTCTGGATACAGCCGGTGCTAGCTGATACTGATGTTGGTATTACATTGGCTGTAGCAAAAATTTTAGCTGCGGTGACTGCTACACAAGGATGAAAACTAAGGGTGGCATTAAAGTGATTTGTGTTATCCAAGACTATGAGGTTATCGGATTGTAACGTCTAATAAATATAGTGACATTTAGTGAGCGTTTTGATGCTTTTTGTACGCTGCCTCAACAGATTATTGGGGAGGCATTTTAGAAATTCCTTACTTCGGGGAATGACCGCTCCGTGTTTCCTTCCTGGCCTGGCTGGGAAGCCTCTTTCTAAAGGATGGAGTCAGCCTCCCCCACCAATCCTCTTCTTCTCCCCAGGGGCTATCCCGCCTGGCCAACCTCAGGCCAGTCACCAGCTTGGTCTCCTCTGATCCGCCCAGCTCCTTTCTCCTCCCCCCATTTTCCCTACTTGTGACCAGCCCTAAATTGCTCCTGGCTCCTCGCCTGCATCGGGGCCACTGAGGGGACTGTGGGCCTGATTGGGGGACTCTCAAGGCATGGCACCAACCAACTTCCCAGGTGGCTGTATGGGAACCTGAGTTCTGTTCTCCCCCGCCAGCCGCTTCCTCCAGCAGCTATTGCCTGCTGCCACTGACAACATCAGCAGTAAGGCTTCCTGTGTCTGAGGGTTAAGTTCCAAGCAGTTTCTCACCAGTCTGTCCCACCTCTGTGTTCAATCCCAGCAGCCATTGGGAGGTTCTTGCCAGCCCTGGGCAGCATTTGGGGGAGGGGAGAAGTCTTCACTAGATGTCAGCTCTGGAGAGAAATGTTTCCTAAAAGAACATCTGAAAAGCCCAGTTGTGCTGGTCGCTTGCCTGCCTGACTCCAGTTTTGCTTTCTGCTGCCCGCTGTAGCTAAACTGCAGCTTCCCATTCCCCAGTGGCATCCCAGTGGAGTGGTGAAGCTATCTCAGAAAGACTTCCAAACTTACATCGATCTGGTCATCTCTGAGTTCACTGGCAATGAAGACGAGGTCTTGGATAACATTGTGGAATTCCTCATGACATCTGTGGAGAAGACTCACATGGAGCGTCTGCGGGGCTCTGCTCGGCGGAAGTGGCTGCACACGATTCAGCACACGGCCAAGACCAACGGAGGGAACATCGACCTTGTGTACCAAGCTATCTTTAAGGTCCTTTGTCAGGTTAGTGTTTCTGAATGCAGACTAAATAGTTTGGGGATTTTTAATTTGGAAAAAAAAGGGGGGGTTAGACAGATGTATAAAGCCAGATGCTGAGGGAAAACAAACTTATGCCCATCACCTTTCTATCCTACTTGTGGGCATTCAGAGGCATTTGGCTGGCCACTGTTCGAGACAGAGCAGTGGGTCAGACATTCCCCCCTGCTCGCCACAGATGTTGACACCTCAGCCTCAGTCTGCAAATACATTAAAACCACAAAAATTACTGGACTGGCATACTGATCAGTTGGTTTAAACCACATGAGACAAACTGGGGCAGTGATGGCGAACCTTTTAGAGACCGAGTGCCCAAACTGCGACCCAAAACCCACTTATTTATCGCAAAGTGCCAACACGGCAATTTAACCCGAATACTGAGGTTTTACTTTAGAAAAAACAACTCATAGATGAACTTAAGATGATCCAAACAAAGTAAGGAAAGCAATCCCAAATGCTTTCATTTACTTAAAATGATTTGGCAGAGAATTCGACACTTTAATGATGGTCTGGGCCTGGCTGGAGCGATGGCACGCGTGCCCACAGAGAGGGCTCTGAGTGCCACCCAGGGCTGGCTCGCTCACTAGGCGAACTAGGCATTCGCCTAGAGCGCGCCGGCCCTTAGGGGCGCCAAACTGCACCCTCCCCCCGCCAAAAGACATCTCCCTGTGACCGCTGCTGCCTCTTTGGCCGGCTAACTTCAGTGTTGCGGGGGGGGGGGAGTGCCGACCTGGCTGGGCGCCACCGAGGCAGGGAGGCAGGCGGGCGGGCAGCGTTCCTTCCCGGGCCATCTTAGGCTGCCACCTACCTTCACTTTCCCCCGCTCCTCCCTGGCACTGCTGCCCGAAGCAGCTGAGGCTCCCGCCGGACTGCCAGAGTCTGACGGGCAGTGAGGCTCCGAAGGGGGAAGTGGAGGGACGGGGTGGGACAGATGAGGCTTTCCCAGCAAGAGGCTCCCCAAGAGAGGGATCCTCTGGCCAGCCTTGCAGGGGAGGGGGGGGGTCGGTGGAGGCAGCCCTTGCAGGGACATGACAGGTCAGGCCGGGGGGGGACACACACAGCCCTCGCTGAGCCCCGGGCGCCCAGTCTCTCACCTCTGCCCGGCAAGTGCACCCAGAAGCGTCCTCTCTGAGGGAAACCAGGACAGCCGCCACCTGTTTCTCCCCCCGGCCGGCCCTGCTCTCGTTTCCTCCAACTGCAGTCTTCAAACTTAGCAAGCAGTTTGGGGGGACTGAAAGATTGCAACCTCCTCCATGCTCGGAGGGGGGGGGGAGGCTTTTGTAAAAATAACCAGGTGCCTTGCCGGGCTGCTCCCCGGGCCTCTGTGTGTGTGTCCCCCCCACCTCCTGCCCTGCGCCTCCTCCTCCTGTCTCAGAGACTCTCCTGCCAGCGGGGACAAAGCAAGGAGCCCAGGGGGCAGGGCGGGGAGGGAAGGGAAGGGGGGGTCTCCTCCAATGCTCCCTCTAAGCTGCGGAGTCCTGTGAGAAAAAATCCTACTGGTGAGCTCTTGGCATTAAAACTGTGAGCGAGCAATTTGGCTGCTGCAGGCGGGGAGGGAAGGGGGGGGTCTCCTCCAATGCTCCCTCTAAGCTGCGGAGTCCTGTGAGCAAAAATCCTACTGGTGAGCTCTTGGCATTAAAACTGTGAGCGAGCGATTTGGCTGCTGCAGCAACAATGAGTTTGCTCTTCTGGAGACTCACCTCCGGCCCTGCCTCTCCACACCCGAGCTGCATGGCTTGCAGGCGCCCGCCTCTGTACATGCCTGGTGAAGGAGGAGGAGGCAGCCCCTGGTTCGCAGGCCCCCTTTCCCGCACCTAAAAGCGGCGCCCCAGTCGGGAAAGTGAAATGCCGGTGGCGGCAGTTGGGTCAGGCCAGGCGCTTCGTTGTGAGTAGAGAGCAGTCTTTTTAATTTATTTTTTATTTAGAACCCGCCCTCCCCAAAGTGGGCTCAGGGTGGTTTGTGCAGGCTTCTAAAAAGTATTGTGCAGAAGAAACAAGTTCTTGGGGGGTGGGGGGAGGCTTTTGGAATGCAAAACATTTCCAATGCAAACCGTCCTATTAAAATAAAAATAAAGGGTGCCGCGGAGGCAGTACAACCTTGACTGTTTACACCTATTGAATTTGGAAACTGGTTGGGAAGTCTCCTCTGGAGCTGGGGAGAAATCCTGCCGGGAGCTTTAAATTCACACACTATAACCCCGTTTATTTATTTTAAGAGACCCTACCTTCGTTGCACTTCCCTCCCCCGCCAAGCTCCCCAGCATTTGGGTGGTTTTACACAAAGGGTGCATGTCTTTCCACCAAAATCAGGAATCACAGATGTAGAAGGTTCTATCTCTCCCTTCCTCCACTTCTTCTGAACCCCCTCTTGTTTGTCTCCCCCCCCACCCGCCAACTTGAAAATTGGTGGGCGCACGGGGGTGGGGGTGCGGCGCCAGAAGGGATCCTTGCCTAGGGTGCAAAATAAGCTGGGGCCGGCCCTGGTGCCACCTCTGGCACCCGTGCCATAGGTTCGCCACCACTGGACTGGGGCATAGCCATAAGCGTCTGGCATAGTTGTCCAAATAGCCGGTTGATGCATCTGCTTCTGGTCTTCAGGATGCAGACGCCCATGGAGACAGCAAGAAAATCAGTGCCTACATTGCCCTCTTGGAATACAACATGCTTTTTCCAGAGCGGGGAGACATTCTTCTCCACTATGTGGCCTGCACAGAAGACGATGCTCCATATGTCCTGAACCAGTCACTTTACATGGATATGAAAGGAGTCAGGTAAGGAAACTGCCACTGAGCCCCTTCCTTTCCCTGCTTGATAAGTTTCAGTTGCTTCCTCAGGAAAAAAGATCCAAGCAGGGATATGCAATTTCTGTTCTTTGTTTTGAAAGCTTTATTTATTTCCATTACTAGTAATAAGGCTCGTTGCAGAAAGAAATGCAACGAGCTCTAGAAAGAGGGCCTGGGAGAGTGCTCTGGCCTGCAGCAGTCACCCATCCCCCCCCCCCCAAGTGCCATGGGCAGACCACCACTGCCATGGGTGGCCCTCTTCTCCACCTTGGCAGTCTGCCCCCCCGCCCCAACTCTGGCTGCACGGCTTTTCTGTCCTCCCCCCACACGGCTCTGGCTCGCAGGCATTGTAAACAGCGTGAGGCGGGCAACGGAGCTGGTGTGTGAGTCAGAGCCAGCTCGAGTGGCCGGAGCCGGGGAGGAGAGGTGAGTGGCCATGGCAGTGGCGTTGTGAGGGGGGAACTGGCTGCTGCTCGCTGGGTCCTCGCTCCATGTATGGGGCATGCGAGGGATGGAGGGGGCTGTGGGAGAGGACCGAAGCGAGGACCCCCTCCCCACTCCCGATACTGCACGTGAGCCAGAGGTAAGGAGGCCCCAGCCATCCCCAGCCCCGCGGAGAGTCCTGTCCATCCCTTCCATTGGCTCTGAGCAGACTGAGCTGGAGATGCTGGCCGCCACTTCTATGGGCGGGACTTCGCAACCCAGGCAGCCAACGCAGCCAACACCTTTTGAGTGGCAGTTCTGGCAGCCAACTGATTTTGGCGTGCATAGAACTTTGCCACTTGAAAATTGAATTATATACAAGGAAAGATTACCTAGTTCTGCGACTGCTGCAGCCTTTGTTTTTTCCCTCATTGTGGGAATGCCACCATCCTCATCTTCCCTCCTCCCACACTTAACTGAACCAGTGGCAATAATGGCCACTTGTGGTGACTTGGAAATAAGGGGAACAGAACTTATTCTCTCCTATCCTGGTACCTTGGACATTGGCAGCATCTGAAAGCACCATGCCAGTTTGTTGTAGTGGTTAGGAGCAGCGGACTCTAATCTGGAGAACCATGTTTGATTCCCCACTCCTCCACATGCAGCCAGTCACAGTTCTCTCAGAGCTCTCTCAGAGCTCTCTCAGCCCCACCTACTTCACAGGGTGTCTGTTGTGGGGAGAGGAAGAGAAGGAGACTGTAAGCTGTTCTGAGACCCCGAGTGAACGGCGGGGTATAAATCCTATCATCATCATCATTCCTTGTATGAAGTGCCTTGGACATAGTGCCAGACAGCTTTCAAGGTGCTGGTAGAGGAGGGAATTCTCTTCCTGCCCATCACCTAATTGGCCAGCAATCGACACCCCCACATCAAATCTACCACAGCAGCCGTAACAGCACCTGCTGCCACCACAAAATGCAGCAGGGGAGAGGAGGAGGGAATTCTGTGGATTCATTGTTATTAGCTAAGCAAACAAAACGAACAGATGGGTACATTCATCTTCCTTCAGAAGCAACAGGAAGCAAGGATTTTAGGACATTCCATGTCCGGGATACTGATGACTATTTCTGACGTGACTGATTTTGCTTAGGAGGTTGCTCCTTCAGGACATTCTCAGGGAGAGAATTATGACATGGGTAGGAGTTGGGGCCAGCCATGTGCCATCTTCTCATGGAAGTCCCTCCTCCTCTCCTTTTTTGCCTTTTAGCTTTGCAGCAGCATTAGACGACAAGCCCATCCATGTCCCCAGAGTTCAGCTACATGGAAATATCCACTTCTGGAACTGTGATCGTCCTAAGCAGGAGAGGAAGGGCTCCTTCTTGGTTCTCCCAATTGAGGATATCCGAAGAAGGGTCTTTGGCATTCTTGGGTTGGACACCCTCCGTGACCGTAATGATCAAACTATCTTTGTGCCCCATGAAATCCGTTTCTATCAGGTGAGGGCAGCAGAAAAGCTGCAAGGCATTTAAAGGGGACATCCATGACCTCTGGGTGGGGACCTCGCAATCGGACATTGGTCTGTTTGCGGTGGCCTAAGTATTTGGCTTACAGAAATCCTCTGCTTTTGATGTATTGGGAGTTTCATAATCATTCTCACAACTTTCCTGCTATAAAATTGTGCTCATCTTTATTTCCAAATAAACATAGAAGCATGTTCTTCCCCAGGGGATAGCAAAAGCATTCAGTGCAGCCTACCACCTTATTCGCACCCAGGACAGTATCAAGCAGATGACACTCACTGCCGTGGAATGGCTGTCCACCAGAGCACCAAGCCTCCACGCCATCACTGCGTACTTCATGGAACCTGGAAAAGACAGGGTAAATACTAGCTGAGATAATGTATGTAGGGAACGACCATTGGGGAAATACCATTGAGTACAAGCTGAGACTCTGCAAGAAATCATGTGAAGGTGGGAGCAGCAGCTTGAAAAGTAGGAGCAGTTTGGAGCAAATCTTTCCCTTCGAGATTCTCTACATATCCAGGGGCTTCAGCAGACCTTCCTCCTTTAACTGACTCTCAGCAGCTGTCAACATTCTGTGCCTCTTGGAGCATTCTCAGTCCTCATCAGGACTTTCAAGGAGGAGGGGGTTAGAAGCCAGAGTGGTGTTGTGGTTCAGAGTGGCGGACTCTAATTTGGAGAACTGGGTTTGATTCCCCACTCCTCCACATGAAGCCAGCTGGGTGACCTTGGGCCAGTTGCAGTTCCATCAGAACTCTCTCAGCCCCACCTACCTCACAAGGTATCTGTTGTGGGGAGGAGAAAGAAATGCGACTGTAAGCCACTCTGAGAACTCCTTAAGGTAGAGAAAAGTGGGGTTAAAAACCTACTCTTCTTTTTCCTCCTCTTCTTTTGGTGAATTTTAAAAAAGTCATATTTTCCTGCATACCTGGTGCCAAAAGTTTCTAACTGGTCAGGTATTACCAAGACTCTGGGTAGAATCTAGTTCAAGGAATGGCTCAGAGGAACTCCTGGGGCACCAGAAGAGGTTACTTCCCCCCATTTATTTTCAGGCAGGGTAGCCGTGCTGGTCAGCAGTAGATCAGCAAGATTAGAGTCCAGTAGCACCTTAAAGACCAACAAGATGACGAGAGGGTTGGAATCTAAGTCTTACCCAACATGTTGGGTATGTTTAGCCTGGGAAAGAGAAGGCTTAGAGGGGACATGATTGCAGTCTTCAAATATTTGAAGGGCTGTCATGTAGAAGATGGAGCGGATCTATTCTCTCTTGCTCCGGATTGCAAGACTAGATCTAATGGGTGGAAATTACAAGGGAGTCGATACCGGCTAAATATCAGGAGAAACTTCCTAACTGTAAGAGTGGTTGAGCAGTGGAACAGACTGCCTCGGGAGGTGGTGGGGGCTCCTTCACTGGACGTCTTCAAGCGGAGGCTGGACGACCATCTTTCGGGTATGTTGTAGGGCTATCTTTCGGCTACGCTCCTGCAGAGTGCAGGGGGTTGGACTAGATGACCTGCAAGGTCCCTTCCAACTCTAACATTCTATGATTCTAAGATTTTTGAGGTATAAGCTTTCAAGAATCCAAAGTTCCTTTCGGCTGATATCTGACAAAGGGAGCCTTGATCCTCAAAAGCTTATACCTTTTCTAACGGCTTACCCCCACCCTCTTTTTCCCTGTAACTAGCTTTTGAGGTTTTATTCCAGTTTTGTCCGAAGAAGGGTGTTTTCCACACAAAAGCTTCCACTTTGAATAAAATTTTGTTGGTCTCAAAGGTGCCACTTGACTCAGACTTCATTCTCCTGGCAATCCAGTTGTTCTTTAAGGTGCTATTGGACTTGAATGTTGTGCTTCCCAGTTATCTATATATCTAATTCTCAAGTCGCCCCCTGGTGTGCGGATGCTTAAATCCGCACATCGGGGGGACCTGGGGGGGAGGGAGAGGTTTGTGCGCACGTGGGGCGGTCCCCACGTGTGCACAAAAATCCTAAATCTGCAAAAAAACATCGGGGGGATGTTTAAATCCCCCCGAAACTCACAGAGCATCCCCTGCGCATGCGCAGGGAACGCTCTGCGAACGCCGCTGCCACCGCCGCCGCTTGCAAGGTGAGCGGCGAGCAGGGAGGGGGGGCCAGAGTGGCGAGGGCCCAGCGGCTCGCCGCTCAGCCCTCCCTTCGGAGCCGGGGGGGAGAAAAAGCCGCCGCCGCCGCTTGGGAGGGAAGCGGCGAGCGGCGAGCACGGAGGGGGGGAATGAGCAAAAAGATTTTCCTGCACACTTGGGGAAGTCCCCAGGTGTGCAGAAAAATCTGAAAAGTTGAAAAAAATATACGGGGGATACTTAAATCTCACCAAAAGTAAAAGAGCGTTCCCTGCGCATGAGCCGAGAATGCTCTGGCCATTGGGAGGGAGGCTCAGTAGGCCTGGCGACTGGGAGCCGCACGGGCCTCACTGCTGGTGCGGAGGGGGGAGAAGGTTGGGCGGACCTGGCAGCTGGGAGCCGCACGGGCCTTGCCTTTGGTGCCGGGGTGGGTTTGGAGGGAGAAATGGGGGGCCCGGGCCTTGCCATCTGGGCAGGGGGGGGGCAGGGGAGAAGGCTCACCTGTGGCTGCTTCCTCCTCCTCCACGTGGAGCTCCTTCTCCCCCCCCCGCAAGTATCGCGGGTCCCCGCTTCTTGTTGTTACTAATTAGCCACACAGCACCTTCAGCTTAGAAACTGCTTCATAATCTATGTTTCGTTTAACCTTAAAACAATCCCACCAGGTATGCCATTCTTATCTTTATTTGACAAACAGGGCATATATGCTAAGGGAAGATAACTCGCACAAGGCCTCCTAGTGAAATCAGTGGATGCGGAATGATTTGGCTCTGTTCTGTGGAGCCCAGGTCACCCTAGATGAAACTAATTGTCTTTAAACAGCTTGGCAGAGCAAATTCTCAGCCTGTTTCTCCGCATTACCAACCATATTAGGCACCTTTACTTATATTGTTATTAGCAAGATGTTTACCCAGCCTTTCTGCCCCTAATCTCCCACCAATATGTCTCCCCGTACCCCAGCCTGGCAACCAGCAAGAGCCTGGAGCGGTTGAGGATGTGAGGGGGGGCCCTTCGGTTTCACCAGAGTCTTTGGCAGTTCCTAGAGAGGTGTGACATGACCGTCGGGTTTTCCTCGGAAGTGACATTATGCCATAGGCCCAACAGCCATTTTTTATTTTATTTTTTTTTCCCCTGGGAATGGGAGACGGGGGACTGGCAACCTTACTCCACACACACTATGCACTGTGGCACCATCTCTCACCCTCAAGCACTTCTCTCCCACCAGCAAAGGAACCAATAAACAGCAAAGTCAAGACACACCCACAACAAATACTCCATACACACAAATCCAGGCCCACCTCTCACCTAGTGACAAACAAAATGGCACATGGCCTCTCTAGCAAACTTACAACCTCTTCCCAAAAACTTAAACAGAGAGGGCTAGAAAAGAGGTGTAGAAAAACCTCTTTAAGGAGCTCTTTGGGGCTTCGTTTTAAAAGCAGTGTTATTCCTTCAGCTGTCAGCAGGGGGAACTGGTGCATTACAGAACTCCTCTGGAAGGGATGTTTTGGTTAAGGGAACAATCCCATCCCACTGGCTTCCTTTTGACATCAGAGCTGCCCTACCTTTAATAGTAGTACCCTTCTAGCCCCCGTCACACCTTGTCATGACAAGCTGCACCTGCTGAAATTTCCTTACCCACATAATGGTTAGAAGTACAATGTTCTTAGCACTTGAAATGCTTACCCATTCCTATTTTAACTACGAATCCAGTAGCACCTTAAAGACTAACACAATTTGGGGCAGGGGATGAGCTTTTTGTGAGTCACTGCATTAATCTTTACGGTGCTACTGGACTCTTGCTCTTTTTTACTGCTGCTACAGGCAGACTAACATGGCTACCCGTCTTGGTCTACTTTAACAAAAGGGCTTTACAGAATGCTGCACTAAGGAATTAGTCCCTTCCTTTCTCTCCTGCTGTTTATCCCTAGCATGAATCAGAGAATCATAGAATGTTAGAGTTGGAATGGACCTTGCAGGTCATCTAGTCCAACCCCCTGCACTCTGTAGGAGCAAAGCTGAAAGATAGCCCTACATACCTACAACATACCCGAAAGATGGTCGTCCAGCCTCCACTTGAAAACGTCCAGCAAAGGAGCATCCGCCACCTCCCGAGGCAGACTGTTCCACTGCTCAACCACTGCTCAACACAGGAAGCTATCAGCATGAAGGCACCTATAATGCACCATTCATTTTATTCATATTAACACCTAATGGGGACATAATACAATGCCATTTAATTTTGCTGTGCACAGCGTGTTATTCCAGAGAAACCCAAATTCAAGAATGACGTGGCTGTTGACTGTAGTCTCTCAACCCTTAACTGCATTCTCTGTCCACCACAACTGGTCTGGTTCCCTTTTAACCCTCCTCCTTTCTCCAAAAGTTTGTATTTCTCTTCCTAAATGTATTTACCGTTTATTGATGTTATTATAAACCCACCCCTCCTGCTGAGACTCGAGACAGGTTGTAGTGTAGTGAAGAATTGCCCCTCCCCAAGTGGCCATTCAGCAAATTCTCTTTTCTCTTTTCCAGATGTACGATTACACCTTGCGCAAGGTAATGACTACCAACCAGAAGGGGCACATGGAACCCTTCCCCCATCCAGCGCCGGTGCTCAGCAGAAACGACACCTTGTTCAGGTGGGCTGGAAGGCTGCATTTGTGGGGCCGGCGCTTCAGATGTACCGTCTAAGGCAAAATGCAAGGGATGATCTGGATTTGTGCAGAATCTGATTGTAAATACCACTGGCTGCCTCTCAGTGCCACTGTGGGAAGGAGGTTCTTGTTGCCCACTGTTATCAGGTGGTGCCATGCAACCTCATGGGTCTCTGTCCACCTTCATACCCAGATATACAGGAAATATCAGTTTGACCTTACAAAGAAGATGACACAGCTTACACTAGCCTCCAGACTTCCCTGCAAGGAGCCTGTGGTGATATACGTACATACTCTTCACGGTCTCTGTGCATCATGCTGATAGGCTTTGCACTTGCACGGAGTCTTGTTTCTGAAACTTCTAGGGCTAGCTTTCAGGGACAAAATTCGTCTCTCCTAACATCAGTGTAGGCTGTGCATGCCCAAGGGAAAGGATTCACACACACCCCCCCCTCGGTTCTCTTTCATCCACCACAGTGGTAGAAGCATTGGGGAACCTCTCTTCAGAATTAGCTTATCTGAGAACTACGGTAGTTTTCTTCTCTTTAACCTAGAAAAAAGTCCAATGCCACTGTCTCTTCCTCCCTTTTCACCATTTTCCTGGTGGGAGGGGGGAGCTTCCTTTGACAGCTGGCCATAATTGCTTTCTCTTGTGCTTGGAAGAAACAGCACTCTGTACAGACTAGCTTCATGGCTGAGTAAGGATTTAGATCCTGGTCTGCCTTGTCCCAGTCCAGTACTCCAGCTGTTACAACCACACTGTCTCCTAGCCCATGCTAAACCCATATGTCTAAAACGGATGGGACTTGTGTTCACACACTGTACTGAGTGTTGAAGTACAGTCCTCGCAGGAAGCTACTGCACAATTGCTCTGACTGGGGAAGAGCTCCTATGGAGCAAGCAACTTGTAAAGGCATTCTGGCAACCACATTATTTTCTTCTCCATGTTTCTTATTATTTATCAGCATGTCTTCTCATCTCTTTTCCTTTTTAAAACATCGGAAGGCTTATCTCTTCCATGCAGCTCTCTTTCAGAGTATTCTGCTTTTAGTTAAATTCTACGGAGAAAAGAGTTTTGTTCCACAGCCTCATGTCTGCAGATGGCACTACCAGGCTAAGATCTCTAAGACTGACATCCACAGATCTTTCTAGGCAGAAGGATGTAGGTCGAAGGCTAAGGTCCAGACACACTACAAGTTTCACATGGCTCAGCTGGCTTTGGGGTTGTGTTTCTCAGTTTGAGAAATGTTCTGAAACTAGTTTGGGTAAGTTAGGGGCTTCCTTAAAGGAAATTCCCACTAGGTACCTGCATTCCCACAGCATAAATCATCAACTGCCAATGGATATAACATTGCCTATAACAAAACAATCCAAGTGCAGACAAAATGGAAGGAAGTGCATTGTTCATGTTCCCTTTTTTGTTTTAGTGATTACCTGTTCAAGTGCATAGACTGTGCACAGGTGGTGACTGTGTGTGTGTATGAAGATCACCACATCGCCGTTCCACTGAGGGATCCAGCGGGCTATGCCATGGTGGTGTTTGACATCAGCCTTGGACGGCGCCAAAAGCTACCATCCTGTGAGCATAAGGACCTGCAGAAGATGCTGAAGATGATGCAAGCTGCCGCTTGTGAGATACTGAAAGAGGATTTGGGCAATCTGGAGCCGTACTATGTCTTGGGTATTGTGCATCTTGGTAGCAGAATAATTATCCCAGTATGGGTGGGTCTATGTTGGTCTCCAAAAGATACTTAACGGAAGGAGGGGGGGGGAAAGATGACAGAGACAGCCAGTGATTACTAATTAAAACTTGGAATAAAGAATATTGAATAAAACATATTATTACATATTATGTATAAAAATACATATCTAACTTGCTGGTGGGTCCAATGATGAGTGGAGACTTAGAAATGAGAATGCACTCTACATATGCCTAGACCTATTCAGAGTCCTGTTTTTTTAAAAATGAGACCTAACAGGGACACACAAAATGAGCCCTGGCAAGCTTTGCAAAATATTTTTGAGATTATCAGAAAGCAGTGCACCCCTAAGAACGCTTTCCTGGAATAAGCTCCACTGAATAGATCCAAGTAGGATTCTGAGTAGACAGGTTTAGGATTACTCTCAGAAAGTCTAACAAACAGCACTATTTAAATAGTGAATCCAGGGAATGTAGAACAATTTGCAGTCCATAAAATGGGGGAAATGCTTTGAGAGTTTTTAATTATTCCAACAAGTTGTTTTAACATCATCTCCATTATTCTCAGAGAATCCACATGACCTCCTGCCCATTATTTCCTCCAGGGTAAATAAGGAAATTGTTGTGACCTTGCTCATTTTAGAGATGCTATCAAAGCTATTTTGGAGCAATGCATCTCTTTTGGCTTTGTGAAAGTTGCTACTTCTTGAAAAGGAAATCTGGAGAAGCTTTCTAAGCATATGATCATAGAGTCTTCTGAAATGAATTCTTCTGAGAATGCACTTTCATTCGTGATTCTAGAGGCAGAGTATGTCGGGGACTGGAGGCGTGGGGGAGTCCTCTTCTACCGATTCATGCTGCAAGACTTGCAAAACTGCATCTGGAATCTTGACCCACAGCATTCTTTTGATGAACTAAGGAGCCGTGAAAAGCCACTGACCCTGGTGCACAAGATACTGAAGTGTGTGCTGCTGATATTGTACCCGCAGTGGGCTGGTACAGAGGAGGTTGAAAACTGGAAATGCTGCACAGAGGTGAGAAACTAAAAAAGCATGAAGTGTGGGGAGGGGGAGAGAAAAAAAGATTTAACTCCTTAGAAAAAGATATAGGCCTAGGAAGTGGGCCAAGCAACAAAGGAAAGCCAACAAGACATTGGGGGCAAGGGAGATAATAAATGAACAGCTCTCTGATTCTAGTTGCATTTGCCAACTTTTAACATAATTATCATTTCGCACTCCTCACCTGCACGGTGTATGTACTAAAATACTCTCTCATCTTCACCCAGTCACTTAAATAAGAAGGCCTTACAACATCTTTGAAAGATACCCTCATTTCTGGGCTTTTTCGAATCTCCAGGAAAAGGCAGCTGTGAAAGCTGTGAGTTAACCACCGAGGAACAGCCTTCTAAATTTGCCTCTGCTATCTCTCCCTTCACCTCAGTTTTCCCTTTTTCTAAATTTGAGATTATAAAATAGGAAGGGTTGCATGACATCAACTTGCCTTACAACGGGTGACCATGGCTGTTAATACCTGCAAGAGTATCACTTCTCTTGTGACTAGCCGGATGTCAGTTTCCTTCCAAAGACAGACCCTGAAGGTGCCTACTGGAGAGTGAAACTGATGCACGTACCTGACTACCATTCAGAAGTGGCGCCTGCAATCTCAGCATTTGTGGTTATGAAAGGTTAATAGGAGGGCTACACCAGTTATTATGCAGGGCATCTATATGTATTTATTTGCATGTCCGCCTATTCACATGGAACACAGGCGTGGGGTCGATTCTATGCTACACCTTGCCCCCTCCCCTGCTTTACCTTGCTGGTCAGGAGTACAGGAGTGTTTTCTGTCATGCCGGCTCCAGTTCTAGAAGCTGGACTGGAAGCAACTGATTGCGGTGAGGTGTGATAAGGTCTCCCCTGCTTTCCATACGAATCAGTAGGCAGGTGAATCAACGGGGATGCCCTTACCTAGTTTAACCTTAAGAAACTGGACCTCTCCCCTGCCTTGTAGCTTTTAGCCCACCAAACACTGCAATTCGCATTTCCTTTCCTTTTGCCACTCTTATTTTTCTTAAATTCTCTTTTCTACTCCACTTATTTTTTTGGGCCTGTGATGATTTCTGTTCCTTGCTTCACAGAAACTTGATGGAGAACTTATTGAGAATATTTGCTACTTCGACCCAACTGCTGCCTATGTCCAGATTCGGTCAGAAGTTCTGTATAGGTGCCTCCACGGTAATTCTAAATATACATATATATGTTCTGATCCCCAAATTTCAGTACTATTGGCTTTAGTCTTACTACACTGAAACCCCCCTGAGCCTTTTTCTCCCTGTTTGACTTTGCCACCTATTTGCAATGAGAGTGTCAATTAGGAATGACCAGGCTATGCAAACTCTACCGGTATTGAGAAGTGTTTGGCCAGACAGAAAACCAATTCTGTGGCTAAGTGTAATCCATATCCTGACTGTACACAACATATATAAGTAACACAAACAGAATTCTCACTAAGTCATGAAGCCCGCTAGATGACTTTGGGCTGGACCACTTTCTTTCGGCTTAACCTACCTCTCAGGGCTGTTGTGAAGATAAAAGCAAGGAAAGGAAAATCAGGTACACTGATCAGAGCTCCTTGGAGGAAGGGTGGGATAAAAATGTAATAAGCAGAATTGTTTATGCACACATAACCCATTTGAAAACCCCCTCAACTGAGAAACCCCTGCCACAATATTCACTCCAAACTTATCAGTGAACAGGGTTTTGGATGGGATCCAAAGGGGCATGCACATATTTCTGCATGTGCACTGGGAACTTCTGAGGAGCCGCACCCTTCACACGGCAGCCTCTCAAAAGTCACAACTAGAAGGTTAGAGGACACTGTGGAACACAAAGGATGTAATAAAAAAATGAAAACCAGAAAATTCCCCAAACACACAAAAAGCCCTTTACACATGGGCAAACCTGGACCTTAAGGAGCCATTCTGCAAATGCCACTGGTTGCACAACTTTGAGTCATGACAGCAGGGACTTGTGTGGGGAGGTTCCAAGTCAGCCAGCATTGCTAGACCATGCCAAACGAGGAGGAAAAACTGGAATAAGTAACTTATTCTTCTTTTGTGTGTGTTTCTTTTCGACATAGGTATACGCAGAATAGATGTCTGGAAGCTTGGTTCGGCTCCAGTGGAGTACCTTTACAACTGGACACTCACCTGTCTGTCATTAATAGAGCTTGCAAAGAAACTTCAGTGTTCTCAGACTAGGGCCTCACATTCTTCCGGGCTGCTGGTTCACAGCCCAATTCAGTCAAGACAGACATTTGAGGTTTCAGAAGGCATTAACCAAACCATCTCTTCTACTTAAAGGAGTTGTAAAATGCTTAAAGCAAACATTAAGACTTGCTTATCTCTTCCGTTAGCTTCTTCCCATTGTTCCTATCTGTTATTTGTTGTATTATCTTTTGTTTAAATTAAAATAACACTTCTCAGTTACATTAATATGATTGCCTTAGTGGGCTAGAGGGATGGCTGTCTTCGGACTTTCACTTAATTCTGATCAGAGACAGGAGGGGAAGGGAGAGGGGGGGATTAGAGGGCAGGGAAGATGAAACTTGTGCCTTAACTGGATGTCTGCAAAATTGGTGATTATAAAGAAGAACGAGAAGAATAAAAGCACTTCACAATTATATGGCATACTCTTTTCTGAAATGGCTTTCGGGAAGTCATTTTATACTTGATGTGCAGAAAGCTTCCATTTCAGTTCCTCCCAAATGGAAGTCCACCGCCTTGACGTTCACCTGCACATTTGTTTTAAGGGAACAAGAAGCTTTCTTATTGGCCAGAGCTGGAGGTAGCAACACACCCCAGTGTTCTAAGATTCCATCTTTGCAATCTTTCTGTAGAATCTTTTTAAATAAAATTTGGGGAAATTAAACCTGTTTTGTTTGTTTTTTAAGCTCACAAAAAACAATGACACGTCTACCAAACATTTTGTAATTTGAGACTGCTTTTCCCTGATATATTGATTATGGGATTATTACAGTTTTTTAAAGAAATCTCCATGATGATCTCATGCCTGTTTCCACAGCAGTAAGTGAATCTCTTGAGGGGGCTGGGAAGGGGAGGAGGAGAGGCAGCTCAAGTACTTGGGTAATGATATCCATGGGAACAATGTCCTTAAAGATATCCTGATATGGACAGGTCCTTATCCGCTCACGAGCAATTCAGCAAGAATACAAATCACTGTTTTTAATAAAATTGAGGACAAGAGTGTTTTAGACACATACCCAGTGTGTCTTTAAAAAGGGATGCATGAATATTCCTTTTTGGGGATCATTCTGAGCATTTTTACTTCCCTGCTTTTGCCGGTGTTACTGATTCATTTAGTTCACACCATTTTGATGTTACACTCCACTTGAAACACAAGTGATGCAAGAACAACATTGAAAAGTGTGCTAGTTTTAACAGGAAGAATTCAGCACAGGGAGGAAACAGAAAAGTTTATGAAGACGAAGACTCACGGGTTCAGTTCACACATAGGATAAGTGAAATTGAAATAGGTATTTTGTGTTGAGCCAGCAGGGATAAGAAATTTGACAGCATCCCTACTACAAGGCATATAGCAGAGCAGTCTGTGGCTCACTCCACTGTCACCAACAACCATCCAGCTAAAGCAGTAAATCACCAAAGCTGGTCCTGGGTTCAAACCCTTGCCTACTAATGCACTGACTTGGTAGTCCCACAGACCTCATTGTTAGCCAAAGGTGTATACAGACTTACATGAGCTTTGCAATTCCTGAACTCAAGAAGAAGAAGAGAGAAGAGATTGGATTTATACCCCGCCCTTCACTTGGAGTCTCAGAGCGGCTTACAAACTCCTTTCCCTTCCCCTCCCCACAACAGACACCCTGTGAGGTGGGTGGAGCTGAGAGAACTCTGACACAAACTGCTCTTTTTCAAGGACAGCTGTGCCAGAGCTTGTGACTGACCCAAGGTCACATCAGCAGGTCCAGGTGGAGGAGTGGGGAATCAAACCCGGTTCTCCCAGATTAGAGTCTGCACACTTAACCACTACACCAAACTGGCTCAAGAAGGAACCAGTAGGTAAGGGGAGCTTGACAAGCTGGCCTTTTGCCAGCCAACCTTTACATTGCTGTGTTCAGACCAGAGAGGAACAGAGTTCCAGATGAATAACCCTGATGCCTATGTACTTTCATCATTTGAACACCAAGGCATCCAGGACAAAGTGAACAGTTCATCCCAAACGAAACAACTTCCTTACATAATCAGGTGCCAGCTGTGCACATGAACGAGCCTGCACTTTCGAGACATGAAACAGACGTTTTGACAACCTGTTGATACATTTTTCTGTTCCCTGATTGGAGATGTACAGATTTGGGATTATTTGTCTACTAAAAACTGTTGTCATATGAGGGAATTTTTACTACTAGCAAGAATTTTTGTCTCTTGCCAGGCAAAAGTTCCTCTAAGGCAGGGGTGTTGAACTCATTTGTTATGGGGGCCGGCTCTGACATAAATGAGACCTTGTTGGGGCGGGCCATGTGTGTCATAAAATGTAATGCCAGGTAGCGGAGATATAAACTTTATATAAAGGACAAAAAAACAAAGGGCTTTTTAAAACTTAAAATAAAAACATGCTTAAAACATTACCACTCTTGCAATATTTTGCTTATTTAACAGTATCTGAAAACTGACACCTCTTGCTTTGAATTATTGCATCAAAATGTCTGTGCTGTTGCACTCTTGAGTATGCTGTTCAGGTGTGTATCTGTAAGCTGAAAACCGACGATGACACGGCAGCGGCAGAACTGGAAGAAGAAGCAGAAGACAGCCAGTTCCACTGCGGGCTTCATAGAAGCCTTCCAGGGGCCTACTCTAAGGCAAAGCTGGCCTAAAGAACTTCTTTAGGTTGGTCTGAGGGGTTTTTATTCACAACACAGGTGATCTCTGAAAATAACTCCCTTTCCTCAAGCAAAGGATGGAAAAATGTTAAGGTGCTACTGGACTCTTACTCTTTTCTACAGTGGCCATCACCACATCCACTGGCAAAGAATTCCACGTCTTCATAATTTGTTGAGCAACGAATTCCCTTTCATTCATCCTACTGCCCATCGACTTCATAGGATCCCGCCTGCCCCCAAGTTCTACTATTTTGGGAGAGGAAGAAAAAAGTTCTCTGTCCACCCTCTCTTCACCCGTTTTATGTTTCAAAAGGGACAGAAGCACAAGGTATCTTCAGAACGCCTATTCCTTGAGGAACGAAGGAACACTTCTCCTCCCCCCTGCTCTTTTTATTTATTTTTGAGATTCCTATCCTGCCGTCCCCCAAAAGCAGATTTAGGGTGGGTCAAGTGGGTAAGTTAAAAATACACAATAAATACAATTTAAAAACTATAAAACCCATAATACAGTACATGATAGCGAGCTCCATGGTGCATGCTGTATATGTGCCCCAAGGGGCTGGCCTACCAGATGTTGGGTAAAACATCCCCCGATTGAACAATTTAATGCAGTACATAGTGCAAGACAGGCTGAGGCAGAGTAGGGCAGGGGAGGCCAATGTACTTTGACATCTGTAGTCTCAACCAAAGGTCTGGTGGAGCAACTCTGTTTTACAGGACCTGCACTAAGTACCACAGGGCCTTGATCTCACTAAGGAGAGTGTTCCACCACGACCTAAGGCAGGGTGACCATATTTTGGCCCCGGTCACACGGGCCAGAAATTGCGGGGGGGGGGAGGCACGGCTGCCCAAGCACACGTCCCAGTCAAGGTCCCATGGTCCGGGGGAAATGCCGATCAGACGGGTATCCTGCAGCACGACACACAAGCCGCGCCGTGCGATCGCACTAGCAATTGCTCTTTGTGAGCATGCGCTGTTGGGCGCTGTTGCGCAACCTGCGGAGATGAACAGTGGTGGGCGCCGGATGCCACGTAGGTCCACCGGGAATGCAATCAGACGCCCGCCCTTGGCCCGCGGTTTCAGGAAACTAGTACCTCGTAAGTACTAGTTTTTAACTCTGCACCTTCGGCGGGGAGCCACGGGAGCACTGCGCTTCCCAGATGTTGGGAAAATCCACGGGACTCCTGTGCCTCTCCCGCGGCAACTTTGCCGTGTGACCAGGGCCTATAAAAGCAAAAAAGAGGACCTATTTCCCGACTGAATACATCAAACAAGATAGGTAGCTGTGTTAGTCTGTCTGTAACAGGGGAAAAGAGCAAGAGCCCAGGAGCACCTTAAAGACTAACAGAATTAGTGGCAGGGGAGGAGCTTTTGTGAGTCAGTGCTCACTCCTTAATTATTTATTTATTATTTATTTGATTTTTACCCCGCCCTCCCTGCCAAGGCAGGCTCAGGGCGCTAACACAAGAAGCAATAAATAACAATATCAATATCAATATAAAATACATAGAAATTGCTAAAACCATTAACATAACGATGGCAGTATAACGTCAGATAGATCAAGATGGGTAGCCGTGTTAGTCTGTCTGTAACAGGAGAAAAGAGCAAGAATCCAGGAACACCTTAAAGCAGGGGTGTCAAACTCATTTGTTATGAGGGCCGGATCTGACATAAATGAGACCTTGTTGGCCCGGGCCACGTAAAATGTAATTCCAGGTAGTGGAGATATAAACTTTATAAAGGATACAAAGGGTTTTTTTTACTTAAAATAAAAACATGCTTAAAACATTAGCACTCTCTGCAATATTTTGTTCAATTAACAGTGCCTGATAACTGACACCTCTTGCTCTGCATTATTGCATCAAAACGTCTGTGCTGTTGCAATCTTGAGTATGCCGTTCAGGTGTGTATCTGTAAGCTGCAAACCTACGATGATGTAGCAGCAGCAGAACTGGAAGAAGCAGCAGAAGACAGCCAGTTCCACTGCGGGCCTGATAGAAGCCCTCTGCAGGCCTGATCTGGGCCCTGGGCCAGATGTCTGACACTCCTGCCTTAAAGAGTAACAAAATCTGTGGCAGAGTAGGAGCTTTGCTGGGTCACTGCCCACTTCTTCAGATATCTAGGTAGCCAGATATCTGAAGAAGTCAGCAATGACTCAGCAAGCTCCTACCCTCCTACATATATTGGCTGCGGTCACACACACGAAGTGCACTTTCCTGACTGTACTTCCCGGGTACCCCAGAGCATGTGCAGAGTGCTCTCCCGGCCCTGAGTGAACCAGCAAAATCCAGTTGGAAAGTGCACTGAAAGTGGATTATTTACGGTGTGTGACCACAATCTCTCTCAGTCTTTAAGGTGCTCCTGGACTTTTGCTCTTTTCTACTACTTCAAACAAGGGATCCCTATGACAAATCTCATTCGAACCACCCCTCATATTGAAGCCGTGATCATGGCTACTAACTGGGAATATTCCTAACCTCTCGACCCCAAAAGAGGATATTTTCATCATTTTTTTTTTAAATCAAACCGCCCGAAAGAGGATGGACACCCAAAAAGGAAGAAGAAAAAAATAAAGATGGACACGTCCTCTCAAAAGTGGGCATCTGGTAATCACTCTTCCCTCTAAGCCGGGTCAGTGTGAGCTGGCTCACCGTTTTTTAGTCTCCAGTGCGCACAGTTTTGTCTTCGCTCAGGGAGGATGGCACCAGAGCAAACGAATGTATGCAGTCGGCAACTCGCTCGCTCACAACTTTAATGCCAGGCAGTAGCTCACAAAAGTAGTATTTTTTGCTCACAAGACTCCACAGCTTAGAGGGAGCGCGGCATCCTCCCTAAGGGCAAAGCGCCCGGGCGGGCGGGCGAGCAAGAAGCCCTCTTCTCCCTTGCGGAAGGCCGGCCTTCCAACGCTCCACACGCCCACAACTTTCCAGGGGCGTCGGGAAGGCGCAGCCCCCTCCCGCGGCCGCCCTCGGTCCCTCCTTCCAGGCTCCAGCGCGCCGAATCCCCTGCCGAGGCCCCGCCTGAGGGAGGCGTGAGTGACGGAGCGCCTCCCTGCCTGCCAAGATGGCAGCTCCGAACAAGCAGTGAGTGGGGGAGGGGCGGCGGGCCGAGCTGAGGTGATTTGCGGGGAGGAGAAAAGAGCCCGAATGGTATAAAATGGGGGCGGTGGCGGGTTGGGCGGGAAGGGAAAGCAGAGGGTGGCGTATCTGTGCAGAGTGCTCTCCTGGCCCTACCTCAACGTTGTCGTGAGGATCAAATGGCCTTTGGCCTTCAAGTTGTGTGGAAAGGGATAAGGCATGTTGTCCGCCCTGCTAGGAAGGGGTGTGAAATCACAAGAACTTGAGGGTTCTGGGGGTGCCTGAAGGAGGCCTCCCTCTCCCACAAGAGCAGCCTGGAAATCGGGAGGCCGTCAGGGTTCAAGGGCGGGGAGGGGCGGCAAGAAGGTGGCTGAGGGGTGGTGCTCAGTCCCCAAAGGGATGCGAAATTAATTGGGTAGGTTAAGTCCCCTCTTGAGCAGGGATCTTATGCCTGTGTGCAATGCTCCTTCTAAGCTGTGGAGTCTTGTGGGCAAAAATTCTATTTAAAGTTGTGAGTGAGCGATTTGGCGACTGCCTACATTAGTTTGCTCTGGAGCCCTCCTTCCTGAGCGAAGACAAAAACGTGTGAGCCGGAGGCTAAAAAAACTGTGAGCTAGCTCACACTAACTCAGCTTAGAAGGAACACTGCCTGTGTGGTGGGTACATAGCAACCAAAACTGGTTCCTGGAGCATCCTACAGTGTTTTGTTTTGTTTTTTAAAAACCCTTCACAATTAATAAAACAACAATACATCGAAACTGTAACCCAGGTATGTGCAGAGTGGATTTGCAAAATGTCAGTACTACTATGAGCTATAAGTGCTGGTTGATAGGTTCCTCCTTCTCTTGCATCAGGAGGGATTGCCTCGTGTAAGACTGCACCTCACAAATATGTCTTCAGATCTTGTTTTATTTGTGTACAGATTTAATACATTTAGACTCATGCAGTCTATTGACCCAGACTAATGGGGCAGCAACCCCTCACTACCATGCAAACTGGCTGGGAGAGGTGATGGAATAATGTGAAAATATGGTGCCATGAATAAATCAGTGTATAATCAGTATAAATCAGTACAAACCAGGTCTTAGTATGGCAAGTGGGGGGGGGGGGCACCTTTCTTCCTCCCATGCTAGTTTTCTGTTTGATGGGAGTTTTTAAACACAAGAAAACATTTCAAAATATGATGCTTCACCTGCTATGGGCATTGTCCTCCATATGTAAGCCAAGCCTCAGCCTGCTGTAAAGGGGTGGAACCAACTTTGAACACCCCTCTACTTGCCTCCCCTACCCAAAATACATTTTGATTCTCTTCATTTCAGGCAAGAATTCTGATTTATTTTGTTTTGATTCTGATACCATGCTTTTCTCTCTAGTTGGGACCAGTGTTCCTTCTAAGCTGAGTTAGTGTGAGCTAGCTCACAGATTTTTAGCCTCCAGCTCACAGATTTTTGTCTTAGCTCAGGAAGGATGGCTCCAGAGCAAGCTAATTTATGCAGTAGCCAAATCGCTCACTCACAACGTTAATGCCAGTAGCTCACAAAGGAGAATTTTTTGCTCGCAAGACTCCACAGCTTAGAGGGAGCATAGGTCGGGACCCAAACCAGCTTACAATATTCTCTCTTCCATTTTATCTTCACAACAACAACAACACTGTTAGGTAGGTCAAGTTGAGAGAGAGTGGCTGAACCAAGTTTACCCAGCAAGCTACCACGGCGGAGCAGAGATCTGAACCTGGTTCTCCCCAATCCTAGTCTAACCACCACACTCCTCCTTTCTCTAGTTGTCACCAAATCTCAACCTCTGTTGTACTCTTCTGCACATTTGATGGTTAATGCAGCTTAAGAAAATTGGTATTGAACAGCTAGTTTGGGGGCATTTTATGGAAAGGTGGCAAATAAATCTTTGTTTTCTCTCCACAGATATGGTCTTATTTTCCCCAAGAAAGCGCAACAGAAAACCTTCATCAAACATTCAGTCTTCATGGATGACTCCGATGAAGAGGTCAGTTTGTATTTAAAAATGATCAGCGGAAGGCCCACAAAGTGGTTTACAAAAATTCTAAGTTAAAACAGATTTGAAAACAGTTCTAAAACTCTGTATGAACTCTGTATGAACACAAAAGAGCCAGTTTGGTGTAGTGGATAGGAGCGCGGACTAACCTGCGAGAACCAAGTTTGATTCCCCACTCCTCATGCAGCTGCTGGTGTGACCTTGGGTCAGTTACAAGCTTTCGGAGCTGTTCTCTCGCGAGCAGTCCTCAAAAGAGCTCTCTCAGCCACGCCTACATCACAAGGTGTCTGTTGTGGGGAGGGAAAGGGGAAGGAGTTTGTAGGCTGCTCTGAGACTCCTTCAGGTAGTGAAGGGCAAAGTATAAATCCAGCTCAGACAGTCAGACCAAATTGCTTCACAATTACGAAAGACACAAGTGCTATCCCATAGGTTGAGCAAATCTGTCTCAGGATGGTATTCTGTAGAGAGGGAGATAAAAAATAAACAAACACTAAGAACCATATATTACCATAAGCAAAAAATAAGGAGAGGAAATTGGATTTATACCCCGCCCTTCACTACCCAAAGGAGTCTCAGAGCGGCTTACAAACTCCTTTCCCTCCCCCTCCCCACAACAGGCACCCTGTGAGGTGGGTGGGGCTGAGAGAAAAGAAGAGATTGGATTTATACCCCATGGCCCTTCACTACCCAAGGGAGTCTCAGAGCGGCTCACAAACTCCTTTCCCTTCCCCTCCCCACAACAGACACCCTGTGAGGTAGGTGGGGCTGAGAGAGAAGAAGAGATTGGATTTATACCGCTCCCTTCACTACCCAAAGGAGTCTCAGAGCGGCTCACAAACTCCTTTCCCTTCCCCTCCCCACAGCAGACACCGTGTGAGGGAGGTGGGGCTGAGAGAGCTCTTGACAGAAACTGCTCTTTTTCAAGAACAGCTCTTATCAGAGCTACAGCTTGCCCAAGGTCATCCAGCAGGTGCAAGTGGAGGAGTGGGGAATCAAACCTGGTTCTCTCAGATTAGAGTCCGCGCACTTAACCACTACACCAAACTGGACCATACATTACATAACCACAACATTTCCAAAAGTTAAAAAAGAAAAAAAACATATGGGCCCTAGATGAAATGACTAAACAGAGGCTTTGTACTTTGGTCACATTATGAGAAGACAAGAGTCACTGGAAAAGACAATCATGCTAGGGAAAGTTGAAGGCGGCAGGAAAAGAGGAAGACCCAACATCAGATGGATGGACTCAGTAAAGGAAGCCACAAAGGCCCTCCTCCGTTTGCAAGACCTGAGCCAGGCTGTTAATGATAGGGTGTTTAGGAGGTCATTCATTCATAGGGTTGCCATAAGTCAGAAGTGATTTGACGGCACTTAACGCATGCACATGGACCTGCGTATTGTTTGACAGTAGTAAAATGGCTGAACTGAATGTAGAAACTAACAGGAAAGCACTTTCAAAATTGGTGTCTTGAATTCCCTGAGGGACCGTACCAGTGAATATCCAGCCTATCGAAAGCAAGAAATTGCAAGTAGATAAATAGGTACCACTTTGGTAGGAAGGTAGCAGCGTTCCGTGCGCCTTGGTGTTTAGTCATGCCGGCTACATGACCACGGAAACGTCTTTGGACAGCGCTGGCTCTTCGGCTTTGAAACAGAGATGAGCACCGCAACCCTAGAGTCGGATTCGACTGGCTTTCGAGCAAGTCCTTTTAAAGTTCCTGAGTGCAACCTCATATGAAGTGCTTTGCAGTAATCCGGTCTGGCTAACACATGTGCCATGGCGTATGTGCTTGTCTTGTGTGTCTCCTGCTCTGAATGCTGGCAGCTATTGCTGAATCGGTAAATATCAAGGACTAGGCTTATTTTGCTTATTGGCTGCTCGCTTATGTTCTCTGTGTAGAAAGGAGCAGAACACACAGTACCACAGGAAGAGAGGTAGTTAGGCTCTTTGTTTATTTGCTTACCATTTCCCCTTGAGATTTGACTACGTGTGTTCTCTCCTTATCTCTTGTCACTTGTGAGATGCTATGTTTCTGTTTTATGAAAATGCTAGAAAAACATTGGCCCTGACCTGTATAGCGCAGGGTAGCCTGATCTTGTCAGATCTCAGAAGCTAATACTAGCCCTGGCTAGAATTTGGACAGGAGATCCTGATGGAGAGGTGGCAATGGTAAACCACATCTGAATGTCTCATGCCTTTAAAACCCCACAGGGTGGCCGTAAGTCAGCTGTGATTTGACAACACTTTCCACCACCAGAAAACATTGGGTTAAAACGTTATTAAAAATAAGGAAGACATAACTTTAATTAGGAATAATAATCCAATACAGTTCAACAAGTTTATTGCAGAAAGTTGAACACAGAATTAATTTTGCACTAATCCATATTTATAGTAGTCTTGAATGGTTGCTCCTTTCACTTGCCATTAATTTTGTGAGTGGGGCTTTTATGAAATCTGGAGTTCTGTTTCTGAGAATAAAGCCAAGCGCATGCATAACAACCTTCAGAAACTGAGTGCTGGGAAGGGAGGGTGTTTACAAAGTCATATTTCGCTTTATTTTTGAAATTGTGTCAAGATGACTTGGACCACAGTTTTGTGAATGTCTTCTGTTAACTGCATGAGTAAATCGTGGGAAGTTTATCCATTTGGAAAGTTTCTGCCTAGTCACTTTATGGGGGATGTATGATTACTAGGTAATAACTCCCATTCGTCTTAGCAAGACTTCCTTCTGAGTAAACATGTATAAGATTGGGCTGTGAATCATGGAGGAACACCATGCTAGTGAAGCTTAGATGTAATTGAGCTGCTTGACGACCTTTTAACTAGATCATTAGGCCAACATAGGCCCCTGCCACACGGGGGGGGGGGGGAAGCATGGGCAAAGTAAAGCCACACCAAAAGAGACACGTGGCGGCAGGATCATAGATCCCCTGAGCCGCTGCGCAGTTGCTCCCCGGCACGATCAGATGTCGGGGGTGGGTGGGAGCCATTGCAGGGAGAGCGAGGCAGCCAAACTGCGCATGTGTGCGCAGTTCGGCCAGGAGCCTCGGTTGCTCCTGCAGACGGGTGCGCCGGCGATCTCACGGCCGCACTTGCTGCACCGTTCCAGGTTGGTGCTACCTTTTACTTGGGTTTTTTTTTTGCAGCGGGTTTTAGGCCGGAAGGGACGGATTGGGGACGGGTGCACGCCGATTCCCAGATGTTGCGGTGTGCTCGCACCCATTTGCTGCGCCCCTGATCTTTCCCTCTTCCAGCCCAAAACCTCCCGTGTGACCAGGGCCATACTGTCCTGCTTCACACATGATCTTCCTTCTTGAACTTGTACATTGTGTTTCTCTTCCTGGGGAACTGCTATGAACTTTTCCTTTTAAACAGCTGGCCTTGTATTGGTGTACTGCCTAGTTTTACTTCAGACATCCACATTTTGTCAGGTACTTGAGATAATTAATCCACTCGAATACTTTGTTTCCTGGAACTTAAAGACTCAAATCCTTGGGGGGGGTCATATTTGTGCTAACTTGGAAGTAAGCCCTTACTGAATTTCTAAGTATACTTAGAATGTCAGTCCTGGCTGCCTTGGATACAGCACAAGTGCTATATGCAAAGAACTCTCCAACTTTAAAATAATTGGTTCATAAATATTTGTCATGTTTCTGATTCTTTTGAGTCCTATCACATAACAATGTATTCATTTCTGATAGTTTAATGGTACTTAAAATTACCACTATATATACACTGGCTAATTCACAAGAAAGAGAGTTATGTTCTCTTAAATTTAGAATCATGCCAGTTTGAGTACATACAGATGCAGACACTGTTTTAAAAGCAGCTTACAACATTTTTAAAATCATCTGTATGATAGCTTGCAATTTTTATCCATGGATATTCTTCTGGAAAAATGCACCTTTCAGAAACCTCCTTGCAAATCAGATGCTGTAACTGGCTGTTGTGCAAATACTAGAAAAATCATGTGTATGCTGTACAGAGTGACTTACTCCCAGTTCACCCTGGGCATATCAGCTAAGTCTTTACCTGGCCTACTTTATAACTTCTGAAAAACAAACAAATACGTCTGTAATATGTAATAACCTAATATGATATGTCAGTTAGCTACTGCTATTGACAAACACAAAGCAGAACATGCATGCTACACCCATTCTGCAGGAAAAAAGCAGCAATAACCTCATTGCTCAAGGTAGAATTTGAAAAACCCTGTAGAAGATCTCCTGAAGAAGCTTAACAGCAAAATGCATAGGGATCTATAAAGGTCTAATAAATATTTTCACCTTGCACCTGTTTTTCCCCCTGCCTACTGGTGCAGCCATTTGTTTCTCCAACACCCATTCTGCGGAGACTCCCGTTTGATACCAATCAGTTACTGGGTTTAATTCAGGGTTCTAACTATCACCTACAAAGCCCTTAATGTCCTTGGACCCAGGACCATCACCATGACAACTTTGCTCATCTTAGGAAAACCTTCTGAGGGCCAAACTAAATGTTACCGCATCCTTGTGGCCACCACAAAGACACCACTGGGATTTTAAAGGAATTTTAAAATGTCCCAAGGATTGGGCCACCCATGCCTGTTTTGCCACTTGAAAAAGCATTGGGGGGGGGGGTGGAACAAGAATGCCACACTGAGGACTCAATCAGGATCAAGACCTCACAGTATTTTAAAATGGTGGTGGCATCATCCCCATGGTGGCCACGAGGACACCATCATGTTTAGTTTGTCCCTGAATGTACCATCCTGCAAGTGGCTAAAGTCAGGAAGTGCTCATTCCCACACAATCTTTTCGGTGGCTCCCATAAGAACATAAGATAAGCCAATGTTGGATCAGGCCAATGGCCCATCTAGTCCAACACTGCCACACAATGGCTAAAAATACCAGGTGCCATCAGGAGGTCCAACAGTGGGGCCAGGATACTAGAAGCCCTCCCACTGTTGCCCCCCCCCCAAGCACCAAGAATACAGAGCATCACTTGCCCC